GTGCTACGTGACGCCCCATATGTGCATAAAAGAGTGTTTCACACTCGTCGCTTGGCTTATAGATGGCGCTGACTGACACTCCTACTTCTAAATTCACATATGAACCGAAAAAAGTGAATGGAGGGAAGGCCGCTGTGATAGCTCAATGGTTAGAGCATCGAACGCGTTTTCGAAGGTCGTAGGTTCGATTCCTGCTCACGGCTGGTTACTTTTTCACTCACTTTTCTTTCTTCTTATTTACATTCCATTGGTTCTAATAACTTCCCCTATACATTCCTTGGCATTACTGTCTGTTAGATCTCATTAATATTGTGTCGTCAAAACACGGAAAAACGAGCCCTTAGGTATACACTTCTTTCCCTTATATATATATATATATATATATATATATATATATATATATATATATATATATATATATATATATATATTGTGCAAAACGGCAGGTAACCAACAAACACATTTGTTCAATAGTTGCAGGGTAAGCAATTGCTCACTTTCTTTACAAAAAACATTTTCTTCTGCATCGATGTACAAAAATTAATCAAATGCGAGTGGCTTTTGCCAAATAGAGTTGAGCAGCGCATATATTTATTCTAGTGTCGTCATGGAAGCACGTCGTATGCATTAAATTCATCCGCCACAATTCGTTACATTCAATTGGTTGTGCAATCTGATAGAATTTGAAAAATCACCACCCAAGCTCTTCGTACAAATGCATGGTTAACCAGCGAAAGCTTAAACGTGTGGCCCCGTTGTTTAGCAGTGGGCTCGACCCGACGTGGCGCTGAAGCCTTTCACAGTGTTTGGTTGCAGGTTGCATGTTCGTGCTTCTTAATTGAGGTTAGAAACACGTTTGGCTTGAGTTTAGCAGAGTGTTTACTTCACATGCCGCACATTGTGCCTCGATCGCATAATCACGGTCAAGGGGAGCAGTGTAACGAGTGGTTAAATACGTTTCGCAATGCTTTAACCACAGTGGTTGTTCTCGAATCACAGGCGGTAACAGACGTCCCTGCCGAAGGCGAGGTGCCACTAGTGAAACTCCCACCGAAAGCGGTCATTGCCCCGGAGAAAGCGCTCTCGCAATCATGATGTTGACACCGCAACACCACTTGTTCAGCGTAGGCATGGGTTGCCTATAGGCAGACAGTAATTCGGTGCCTTTTTCTCTTGTTCATGAACGACGCATTCATTGTTCGGCGCGGTGTTGTTGCAAGGGTTTGACATCGCGCGCTAACTCGGTGGCGTGGTTTGCAGGATCCACCCACCACCGGCACTTGCATTCCCCTTCGTGATTTAGTACGGCTTGGAAGGCTGCCGGATTATCAGTACGCAGTTGCTGTCGGCACTCGGGCTCCCAGGCTTGTTCAGCACTGCATCATCGACCCGGCGATTGTGAGCTCTTTCGCATTTCCATTGTCTGTGCTCTTCTAGAGTTGTCTGTGGCATACCCATGCGGAAGGTATCAGGAGAAACTGATGCGTGCGTGCACGGCGCCACAGCTGCGACGAGGGGGGTGACGTCACTCACAACGCTGCTAATGGCACGCGTGCTTAGGTACGATGGTGAGAATGACGTAACTGATAGGACAGCCAATGGAGACCACTCGTGACACCACTTCCGGTCAGTTTGTCGTTTCTCCTAGCCGTGTACAGCTTTCGCTGTGCAAGTTCAGTGACGCAATCTTAGCCGGTGCAATATTTAGCTTGGTTTTGCACCAAAATAATTCCCACTTGTAAAAAAAGTCTACATAGGGAAGTAGAGCTTGGCTGAATACTACAAGTTTATTATTATTATTATTATTATTATTATTATTATTATTATTATTATTATTATTATTATTATTATTATTATTATTATTATTATTATTATTATTATTATTATTATATGATTGTTGTTGTTGTTGTTGTTGTTGTTGTTGTTGTTGTTGTTGTTGTTGTTGTTGTTGTTGTTGTTGTTGTTGTTGTTGTTGTTGTTGTTGTTGTTGTTGTTGTTGTATATTTCGGTGGTTTACTCGAGATCACTTTCACGTTGCAGAGGTGATGGAAGAGCAAATGGACGACCAACCGTTTGTGACACGAAGTCACAAGGAAATCCACACAGATAGAAAAATTATTGAAAAGAAAAAGGCCGGCAAGTTAGCCTGGTACTACTCACTGGTTTGCTTCCCTGCACAGTTTTAAACTGGAGTTGGAAAGCGGACAGGCAGAGAGACAAAATACCAATGAACACATACTCACTCGCGTGCCCACGCGGGCGCACGCACTTACACACACACACACACACACACACACACACACACACACACACACACACACACACACACACACACACACACACACACACACACACACACACACACACACACACACAAGCATGCAGTTCTAATCAGAGCCGCTTTGCTCACTAAGGAAACTTTCTAGCTGAAGAAAAATTGAATCGAACCCAGGAACAACGTCTTTCTCGGGTGTTTGCCCTGCTAAGTGAGCTCATGGCCTCCGAGATTGCGAGCGCACGGCGGGGTTCTCTCCAGCCGTTCCAATCGCCGCGCTCCCCAGCAAAACCAGCGAGTATCGGCTACCGCAAGGGGGCGTGTTTAATGAGGGTTCCTCCAGCGGCGGAGACCACGGTAGAAAGCAGAGCGCGCAGGACTTCAGCCTGCGAATAATTTTAGATGCGGAGCATCTTATACTCGCGCCTTGTAGTGCGCCGTCCGCGCCGTCCGCACCGCTTCTCGAACATTCGACAGCTGACGCGCGCGCATGCGCCGTCGCGCCGTCGCCCACTCTTCCACCATCTGTGCATCCCTTCCTCCTCTACACACCGCGCGCGCTTCCCTCCTCCACCATCTGTGCACCCTTCCTCCTCTACACACCGCGTTCGACATCTACAATTCTCCTGATTCTCCAGTGGACGCGCATGTGGCGTCGCGCTTCGAGAACATTCAACAGCTGACAGTGCATGCGCCGTCGTGCTGTATATATACTCAAGGTCGGCGCTCGCTCGCTCAGTTGCCGCTTGTCGGTTGGGTTGTACGGCGCGTCGACGTCCAAGGTCGCGGTGAAATGAATTCCAACGAATCCACAAACACAATGATCGACGTCCCTTCGACCAGCGCCGCCCTTTCGCATACGTGTGTACGTGTTCACTCATTTAACACCCCCTCCTACAACCACGTTAACCAATTTAGCCATCGACCCAAGTAAGTCGCAATTTAACACCCCATTTCACAACCACGTTAACCAATTTAGCCATCGACCCAAGTAAGTCGCACTTTAACACCCCGTTAACCAATTATATGGTCCGCATCCTCCTCAGTGTTCCCCCGAGGGAAGCTGCGGGCAATTTTTTTTTCCTCGCGTCTTAGCAAAATTGCTGACAAATTTTCTGATTGCACTGAAAGCAAGTATTTTTTTCTGTTACTGCTTTAATTTGGTCCGATTGGCGAATAAAAGCATGGAAACTGCTCAATTTTTCTTATATATATCATTGCAAGGATGTATTATTTCGTCTGTGACCGTGGCATTCTAGCATTCTCCCTTACTAGAGCAACGTATGTGGGTGAAGGCTGGGCTAGTTATTGTCGTTGAATCATATTGCCCTCGTATTGTTAAAGATAATTTTATTATTATATCGCGTACCGATATTTATCAGGTGGTCAACCAAATTCCATTTACGCTCTAGATACTTAAGTGTGCTGGTAATTCCACTTAATAATGTGATAATTTTACTGGAATATTTTGAAAGGCTACAATTAACCGACCCGCATTTACTCCCTACGTCATTCATAGTGAAAGTGCTAGAGTTATCATCATCTCTTTTTTTTCATCATCTGTATTTTGATTATAATTTGGTAGCACAATGACAATATCACTATTGAGTTCATGTACAATTATCTCTACTGCATCGAAATCAAAGGGTCGCACATGGGGCCGAACAGCGTCTTTCAAAAAGCAAGTATTTATCGAGGTAGATAACTGGAGAATAAAGAAGATCGGGCTGCTATTTTTCTTTCTTTTTCGCCAGTGCCTCCCCCCCCCCCCCTTTTCTATAAAGCTGACGAACTTCGAAGTATAATTTCGAGCACATGCGGATCTGAGGCATCACAATTTTAACTGCTCTAATATGGGCGGTGCGAATCTACAGCAAAATAAAAACCCTATATGAAAATAAAACGCCTCAGCATTGACTTTGCCTCTCGTACTTCTTGACCCGACATTTCCAAACGAACATAAACCTATGTGAAAGCACAAAGCCATTTTTTTTCTCGCCACATAGAAGCTTCGCCAACAGCATGGCAGCCTTTTCTACCGAAAGAAAGAGCGCCGTGGTGCGGAGAAAAGAGCGGACTACGCCCACCTCTGGAAACACGTGCTCTCCGTGCGATTGGGACAGCCGGAGAAAAACCCGCCGCGAGCCGCAATCTTGGAGGCCATGGTGAGCTATAAGTGCTTGCGAATGGCAGCGCGAGGACTCATTTGTCAACTCTTTCCCTCTCATAACCCTTGCAGCACCTTGCGGGACTCAGGAAGATTCATTCGCGACATTACGAAGGCATAAAGATTAAAATCAGAAGGGACAGTGAGACAAGCATCAATCAAAGTTTGGCCAACTTTCTAGTCAAATTTTCGAAACATTTGGGGTGGAAATAGTAGAAATGTATCGTCCTGCGGGAAGGAACGTCTGCTTTTGCAAGTACTACAGGTAACAAATGAGCTTAAAGTGATATAAATGAATCCTTTACCTATTTCTATTCATAAATGAATGAGTATCATATAGATAATGATTTCTCTGGCTCGTCACTCGAATAGTTTGAACAGGCATTCTTCTAATATAGAATGCACTCCTGAGGACATTGTTAATTTATTATGTATTCTGTCGCATAAAATTGTTCATTCATGTTTTTCTTATTTTTTCTACATCAAAGTGCAGATAATAGGGTTGACACCTCTAGCGTCAGACGCTCTTAAAGGAGAATGAAACAAAAAAGCGCAAAATGTTTGTAGAAAAAGGCCATTTATTGTAGCCTTTACTTCACAGAAATTTCGTAAAACTTGTGTGATGATGTTTGCATGCCGAGTATACAGAAGTGGAGTGGTTACAATGCAGCGAAGATGTATCTACCAGTATTTCCCGTAACCTCCGCCATAGCCTCCGTAGCCGCCGTAGCCGCCATAGCCTCCGTAGCCACCGTATCCACCATAGCCGCCATATCCACCGTATCCTCCGTATCCAATACTAATAACTTTGCCGTATCCACCATAGCCTCCATATCCAAGTCCGAGGCCATAGCCTCCCCCGTAGCCTCCGTATCCATGTCCAAGGCCGTAGCCACCGTAACCGCCATAGCCGCCGCCGTAGCCACCATATCCTCCGTAGCCTCCGTAGCCACCGAAGAAGCCGGCGTTAACAGCCGTGGCGAGGACAACAATGGTTGCAAGGAATCCCTGGAAAAGAACCAAATTCAATGCGTCAAACGTGTTCTCACGTGCTTCCTTTATTGCAGTTTATTATTTGGATATTTCTGTATCATCCACTTGTCTATAGCGCTAGGGCATGAGATTCACTATCCCGCCAATTGTTATGAAACTGTGCGTTTCTCACGGACTCACTCTACGTAATAGAAAATCGCACGACAAATTGCATTGAAAATGTCTCAAAAAGCTTTAAAGTGAGCCACGTAATGTGGAACCAAACCTTGGGTTCACTTTTAAAATTATACACATATAAATTTTATACATTTAACATGCACCTATACTGCGATGTAAACGAGCGCGCCTTTGCATTCCGCCCCAAATTCGATGAGGTAACCACTATTATAGAGCCTCTGTGGTAGGTTAGCAGGCGAGGTTAGCCCGGCCCGCCTACCTGGCAATGCTTCACGCCTAGTATCAAATGCGTTGCTGGAGAGAGTATATCACCAGCCGTTAAATGACTGCATCTTGATTAAACGCAATTAGAAAGGCTACCTTGTAAAGCTATCTTCTGCCTGCCACGGGCTCAAGTGCTCCAGATCAAGGGCTCTACGTCACTGATCATGAGGCAAAAAAAATTAATTGATATGTGAGGTTTAACGTCCCAAAACCACCATACGACTATGAGAGACGCTGTAGTGGAGGGCTCCGGAAGAACCGACCACCTGGGGTTATTCAACTTTCGCCCAAATCTGAGCACACAGACCTACCGCATTTTCACCTCCATCAAAAATGCAGCCGCCGCAGCCTAGATTCGACACCGCAACCTGCAGGTTAGCAGCCGTGTATACCTAGACCACCGTGGCGAGGCGAACAGAAGAAAAGCGGACAGGAACTGTTTTTCATTAGTTGAGTGCTTCGACTCCATTGACTTTCTGTAGAGTTTTGCGGGGCCCACGCGAAGGTGATAGCGAATTCAATCCATAGTCATAAAAAAAGCTGTATAAGGGCTGAAATTATGCGTCCAAAAAGCAAGATGTGATTCTTAAGGACACCGTATTAAGATACTGCGGATTAATATAAATTGCCTGGAGTTCTTTAAAGCTCAATCACTTCAAAATGCAAAGGTGTCTGCATTCTCTCCCCGCCGGAATGCAACCGCCGGAATCGGAACCACGTCCAGCAGCGATGCACCATGACGACTAAACTACAATTGTGGGTAGGTCGTTGTTTGTTGGCATCAAACTTTTTATATGGCTTCGCATACGAGAGCGTTCTTTAGAATGCATAAAGTAGCGCGACTGAGACAGGCACACAAGAAGAGAAACAATTAGACGCTCATGCTGTGCTTCAGGTGTCTTATTTTGTCTCTTCCTGTGTCGGTGTTTCCGTCGCGCAACTTTACGCATTCTAATGACAAGCCAACAGACCCCCATTGCAACCTTACAGAGCGACCACTTTCTGATTTTTTTTATCGTTTGGTAAAGGTAAAAAGAAATTGTCCAAACTTTGAAAAGCTGTCGCCTATGTCTGCTTTTACGAGTCAATAGAATTCAGAACAGGTTTAGACACCAAATAAAACGTAGTTGTGGGACACTCACTGTCTTACGGCCACTTTGAATGTACCACTCGCAACAGATGCCCAATCTAGATTTTATCTTCAACAATCAGCTTATAACGAACAAGGGACATACTCTCAAGCCTTGCTTCAGTCTAGAATCTACAAAAAAGTGATGTAACTACGGTGTAGTAATAGTTTTATCTTTATTGTTAAGCATCGTCCACTCACAATGAAGTAGCTTCCAGTCGCAGGCGAAGTATGGTGGCACTATGAGTATGTGAACGCAAGTGATATATAAAAACTCTTTAAGCTGGCCTAGACGCTTGTTTCTCTGTGGCCGGAAGAATACCACCTAAGTAAACCGGGCATGGTTGACCTCGATTGCTCCTAGGGTGATCATAAATAGTTGCTACAAACGAGGAATGGCCAAGGGCGAGGCCTTCGAGGCCATGGCGGAGGAGAAAAAGGAAGAAAGGAGGAAAGGCGTAGAGCAAGAAATTTAGCGCGAATGAATATGTGGATTCGCAAGCATGGCGTTAGCCACCTATGTTGAGGTTCCACAAAGTGGCCCCGCTGTTGCTATTGCCACATATTGTACCGAATTATAAGCATCAGTTGAACAAAACTACCTTTGCATTGAGCAATATGCGCATAAACCAAGTGGAGACAAATAGCTCCTAAAAACAAAGGCATCAAGGTGAATAAGGCTCCGCTTCCACAGGTAACACAGGCGTGGGAGAGGAGGAATGAAAATAGTACTAATTGCAGTAAAAAGAGCATTCGCTAGACGGGAACACAAGCGTTTATCGTTCAAGATATCACAGGTGGTCACATATGCTGGGGTATTTCGAGAAACGTAGCAGTGATTTGCGGCTTTCTACATATTAGACACCCAAGATCACAGTGCCGAAATCTCGCTTTGTGTGAAAGGCCTATCCTCTAATTTTCCTATATATGAGTGCAAAGGGTTCACTTCAGATCTAGATACAAGAAAGAATGTTGCGAATGCGCTATACGTTGAGTAAAGAAATGCACCACCTAAAGTTTGTAGAGCTGTGCAACCATGCAATTTATATAAGGAACTTCTGTCTAAGTATATACTGCACCTTCATCCGAAATGTACGGCGGCTGCGTCTTCCGCAGTCAAGAAGCATGAATATGCGCCGTGCGATCTATACTGTGTGTACTATGCCGACAGCTGTGCACTATCTACTTACCAGTGCGTTCATGGTGCTGCTGTGCTCTTTACTGTACTGACAGCAACCTGGCTTCCCGCTTTTATAGCCAAATGTCGTCCAGTTTTTTGACACGCTTCTGTTATCACCAATCCACTCACGGTGGGCGGGGTGTCGGTAACTTTTAGAGAGGGCTGTCGGCCTGGACGACCGAAACGAAAGCCTGCAATCCGCTCCATTTCTTTTTCTTTATTTCGCGCACACCCTTCTTTCGCCCGTTCCTGCCCCTTGGGTCGCGGAATAGCCTCGGGGGCTGCAGCGCCCGTGCGACACAGGCGGACCACCGATCATTTAATTGGTCCATGTGCCCGCCACGTGCAGGTTATGCTGCCCAGTTACGTGAAGGCCTAAGAGATATTTTGTAATGGGTCAGCCGCTAGTGCTCGTGCTCGATGTACCAGTGAGAGATGAATGACTGCAGCAACATCGAACAGCCGAAAGGGAAGCTTATCTCCCTTCAGAGATCTTGCTATGCAAAGGAGCTTTTCGAAATCACCCGTGTGCATGCTTGGTCATTTCTGCTTCAGTGGCGCTCCTCCTATTCCCTCCCTCATTATTGGTGACCGCTAACTTGCCGCGTTGTTTGGGTGCGCGTGTGTATAGGCATGTTCATGTGTATACATGTCTGTGCGTGCGTGTGTGTGTGCGTGTGTAAGTGTGTGTGCGCGCGCACGCACTCTGTGTGCTCACTTGTTTCATTTCTGCGCTTGCTGCAATATGACCCGCATTCCAAGTCAATCAATAAGATGCGCAGGTTTTCTGCCTAAACCTTTTTATATCAGTTGTAATAGGTTAGCGGTCACTCTGGCTTTGGCGTCTTGAACGTTTATGTCGCTTGGAACACGATCCACATAAATAAACTCAAACTCAAACTCATACGGCGTGGTGGTCATATCCACTTATGGGGCGACATGCTACGAAAACTACTGGTCTTTCAAGCTATACGCCAGCTGTCAAGATGTAATGGTGATAGCAGATGGAATAACAGGTATTATTTCGTTTATGCATGTTTACTCACATCTATCGTTAAACTTGTTTAATCAGAGCTTTTTTTTCTTCCACCTCTACATATTAGTTTGCAGGTGTTTATTTATACACGCTAGACAAATTCTCTACCCTTCAATAAAGACCTTGCGCTATCTCTCTTTTCAATGTGTTCTCACAAGCGGGACACTCCAGTGGTTGTAACACAGGCATTAACGCTCATTCGCTAAGCACGCAGTGCATGTAAAAAAACTCGTCGCTCGCTGTCGCTGCAAAGCGCAGATTTCTACGATGAAGCGCTTCACTCCTTGGTGAAGAGCGCACAAACTGACGCCTTGTTGCGCTTGCGTTTAGTGTGCTGACTTCGTCCGGCTTCAGTTGCTTCGACTGAACTGGTGGCGTGGTAAAAAGACGCCGAAAAAGTCTTAATAGGAGCTGACCACGGGTTGACACGATAACGCTGAAAATACATGCGGTGGTTTTCTTAGCCCATGCTGTTCTCCGTAGCGTTTATTCATAATTTAGTTATGATTCGCTAGTTTCGAGTGTTCTTCAAATGATTATTTTCGTGAGTAAGCATCAAGCCGTCAATACATTAGAAAAAAACGGTGATTTATTTGTCTCGTTAAGTGCGCAGACTGAATCCGTTGCTCTTTTTTTTTCTATAGCAACAAAAAAATGTAAAGCGGGGCTCTTTATTGCCATGAAAACATTTCGAGTTCTGGATATACACGCACGCGGCATGAACGCATCAAGCCACACGGAATATGTAAACGAGAACAAAACACTTCTAAGAAAGCTTAACCACATTAAAAGAATGAAGTGACCGAAATTCACGCGCATTATGTATACCATAAATTAAAATTAATAAAAACTATGAATCGCGTTTCTACAATCAGTTCTTGCATCTGGCACACTACACTCCCAGTGCTAATAAAATCTACGCATCGAATAAAATTGTTGATTGAGCATCTACAAGAAATTCTATGTCAAGGCACATCTCTAACTCTGCATGACCACCGTGCAAGTGCTATCGAAGTACGAAAATTGCGTCTGTCGAAAGGAATTCCTATATTTCTAAAATGAATTGTCTATTGGTAATGTTGGGGTAATTCTATTACAAAGTGGTCGACTGAAACGTCGGGGATGCTGTGGCGGACGCAGTTTCAAGTTTTCTTCTTTTTTCACGCGACTGAAAAATCAAGATGTGCACGACAGGTCCAACTACAAGCGGTGCAACAAAGTATACCTGTTGTACGGTAAAAAAAAACTGGTGTATTAGACATTGAAGGGTTGATAATTATTGGCTCGGCATCATTGTTCGCAATCGGTATCGTTGTTAGCTATAATTTCATTGTATACATTTATACAGTGATTGGCGTAGCAGGAAGCTTTTCTCTTGTAGTGCTAAAAATTCTCAATGAGCTACACCTTTCATGCTGAGAGCAGCAACCAACGGATGGTTGTCGGCAACCTAGTTTCCAATGATATCGACATGACTGGAGAAGGTGAACCCTTTGCTCTTAAAGGGAAGGAATGAGCAGTGTCGTTGCTACTGCAGATGGGGGTGCGTGGAAATTAGCATAAACAGAGAGCAATTCCGGAGTTCATAATGAGTCCCAGCATGCTATTCGTTAATTACTTGTTATCAATAATGTTCAGTGTTGCTTGAAGAATCCCAAGTAAATGTGGTGAAGTAAATGAGATCTCGCGCAACAAACGATAAATAGAGAGATAAGGATTTTTATGAACACCTAGGGAGCATAGCTGTATTTTACCCCGACGCTCATGTGAATTGGTCCCATGTGAGGACAGGCAGGGAGCACCAAAAAAAGCCCTTTGTATTGCCCGAACGGACGGTGATAACCTCTAAATATGTGGGCGGAATAAAAGCCTTGCCTTGAAGCGATTCTCGCCTTGAGTTTCTCCCGTATGTGGGGGCAGTCCCAAATAATGTGCTCAAATGAGCACGCACACCCACAGCCCACCACTACTTTCATTGCTCCCTCTCAGTTGTGACTTCACTAGTAAATACGATAGTGTCCCCATCTTCCAAATCACACGTGTGCAGTAGCACTGGAGACTTCGTTTTCAGTAAATGCGTTGTTGAACTTCTCATCAAAGTGTGAGAGCCACGTAATTTATGGGCAATTATGCCAAGGCTGCAACTGAAATGATGTGATTTATTTGGAGAAATTATGATCTGGAAGGGTGATTGAGCAGCTTATGTTTCATTTTTTTTTCTGCATTTGTGCTAACTGCTTAAATACCGGTATCCTGACACCTATCATTTAGGCTGCTGCACAGCTTACCAAATTTTTTTTTCTGGGGTTTCGGATCGTCATACTGTATATATCAAAAATTAAAAGTTCAAACAAAAGTGTTATTACCACCGATGCATCTTGTCTGACCCATGAGTGAGGGACGGCAAACGATAAGGGTGCGTCATATACTCTTTTTCGCTTGCAGAACGTCTGCGACAGCTGCATGCAACTTGGCCAAATTCTGTTCTGCAGCAGAGACATAACTTCGTCTAGAACTTCGCTGTTGATGAAATCATTACGAGGCATTCAAATAATTTATGGATTCATTTCTATATAATCAATTCAAAGCGGCTAAAGCTGCATTAAGTTTCGCTTTCTTTATATCACAATTTAAGATGCTCTGCGCAAAGATCGTGACACATAACCGACGTATAAGAACATCGGTTCACAATTTCGCGCTAATTTGCATACACCGACAAAAATAGTCTTCAACATGCCTTTTATTCATTTTCTTCTATTACTTGAATCCGGGGCCATATCCAGGCCCGTAGCCATACACAGGCCCGTAGCTGTAGCTAGGTTCTGAAGCACCATAGCCGAGACCGTATACACTATATCAAAGTCCGTTGCCAAGTCCATAACCAAATCCATAACCAAGCTCATAGCCAATGTGACCAAATCCGTAGGTGGGAAGCGTGGTCATATAACCCCCATAGCCAAAGCCGTAACTCCCAATGAATCCTGAATTCGCGAGAGTGGCTAGAGCAGCAAGGGTTGCGAGGATACTCTGTAAAGGTAGAAGTAAATATGAGTGGCAGCAGTGTGTGTTACACGTATTTGGCGTCTTTCTTTACTCCATAACCGTTTGTATGTTAAGCATCGAAGATAAAAGCAACATGATAAGGTTTGCTACCTGCGACATAAGGCGTAGGCGCAGACGCACTGTTTGAGTGCTTCTGAGCCAGCATGCGTATACGTGAAGCTTTTCGCCTGGCATGAATTTGACTTTCAAGTATTACCTGTGGATTATCCTGTGGATCGAAGGAAGCAGATACGAGGGTTGTTAATCAGGCACCATTGTCTTCGAGAAATGGTAAGATTGGCTCTCATTTGGCGGAATTTCAGCGCCAAATGCATACTACATCTACATCTCGTCTGCATACTACATTCTACGAATTTTGTATTTTGAATGAATGAATAAACTGAACTGAACTGAACTGAAAAAAAAGCAAATGCAGACCATTGTATATCTCCTTAATTAAGCGACTGAGTAAGAAATTACATGCTGCACGCCATGGTGCTACAGTCTCCGTATAGTTAATACATCCCCGCGTGCGGGTGGCCGCGACGCACATGGCAGAGATTGTCTATTGACCGTCTATAAGGGAAACGTTACTGCCGAATTAATAAATTATCATTTTTCAAAGCACCACAGGTCATTAGTTTTCACCTAGAAATCTTCTTTCCTCGAGAAAATACTTCAGAGAGTCTACAGATACTCATTATCCAGAACCACTGCAGCGTTTTAATAACAGCCGAAATTCATCAATTCGTGAACATAAAAATTGGCATATACACATACCAGTTAACGAACTACAAGCAAATATTATGACCAACAGTATGCCAGACCACATATACATCTCCTTCGTGAAGGAAAGCGCGCATTCTTAGAGCAATAGAAATGAGATAGTGCAAGAAAAATGACTTCGTTCTGGCAGCCCGTTATCAAGCCCCAGCATTGATTTCTTGCTGATAAGTTAA